GGCCTGAACAGATTTTATTACCCAGAGTATTTCATCTGAAGATTCCTTCTAATCATCTGAAGATTCCCTCTAATAGTTGAAGTTATATCTTCCTAATAAAACTACATATTCCTTAAGAGCAGGACTTTGGAGGTTGCTCATCAGTGATGGCAGAGTTGGAATGTGCATTGGAGGTTGAGGAGACCAGCCACAGGGCCCAAAAGGAGCCCAGCCACAGTGCGAACCCCACTGTGTGTGAGGTGTGACCAGGAGGAGGGTCCTGACAAGTTCGTTCTCCAGGCTTCCTATTGATCTGAGAGCCATTCACCACCCTTACCATGGTTTCATCTCCTGCTCAGTTAGGGAGAGTTTCTACTGTGGGAGCCAAGAACTCTGTCTGGTAAGCCAGAAATAATAGAAGGGCAAAGAGTGCAGGCTTTCCAGTTGTCAGCCATTTAACAGTGTGATTTAAGAGGTAAACTCAGGGCGGTTGTTCCTAAGCTTTGGGCCACGAAGAGCTGGGATGATAAGTCTATTCCATTTATGGTGTTTTTGAATCTAAGCACCCATCACATTTTCAGGAGGCCAGAAAAAGAGCGTGTGTGTCGCACTATAAACCCCTCTTTCAGGTGAAGATGCTGAATTGTTTAATAAAATATCGATTTATTTAAAGAGTTACAGAATAGGAAGCTTTCATCATTCTGTATTTTCTCAAGCAAGACAGAAGAACTACTGTCACTTGAAAGTCTAATAAACTAATTCATCTTTTCAAAGAACAGCATACTCAAAAGGGCTGCAACACTGTTAGCGATCTTTTCTTTTTCACATGGAAAGAGTTATTATCAGGTTATTTTCAACCTAAATGTTCTAACTAATCCATGAAACCAACGAACACCTTCTAAATCAGCACAGCGACATGCACTCCTGAATACTAGCAAGCAACAGCAGACAGCTCAGTGACAGACGGGACAAAGACCTGTGTGAGATAAACATGAAAACCAGTTCACCGTTACTGACGTTACGAAGTTGCAACTTGAAGGAACTGCAGCAGTCACCCAGGTGTTTTTAATATTAGTCTTAATAAAAAAATAATCAAATTAAAATATATAAAAACCATGGTCAAAGATAGAAAATGACACAAAATTGACCTGAAAAGGCAGACACAGGCAGGATAGCAACATTTACTCTATTATAATGCTCTTCTAGGATGTGTAAATACATTTTAGAAAGAACTACCATAAAGAAACTTAAATCACATTGTAGCTGTACATATATATATTTTATTTAGATATATTTTATTATTTTGCTATACATTTAAATGAACAGATTAGTATCTATTTACATTTCATTGGATGTCAGAGTTCATATAACTTCTAATAAAGCAAATACTTAGGATATTAATAAAGTGAAGCATCTGAAATAAAATAAAAACAGATTTTGTGCTCTACACTAAGTAGACAAATTATGTGAATATTTCCCCCTTGAGCTTTGAATGAGGCTTTCCTTACATTTTTAAGACATTTAAATCCCATTCTTGCTTCCTTTAAGGATTTTACTTTCATGTATTACACACATCTCAGGGGTCCATTCTTTAATTATCTATAACATGAAACTAACTGTATCTGCTTTATTTATTTGAAAACTCACAGACCCTTCAAAAGAATGTGCAAAATTTCTGATTCATGACTTGAGTTGTTGTTTCTTTTTTAGTTTTCTTTTGCTTTTAGTATTATTAATATCACTAAAGGATGAATTCAGATCTTCAGTCTATCATTTTGGTTTGCAGGGTAAACTTATAAAATATTGCCTGAGTTAGAACATCCTAGGTAATGAATAGATTAAAGATAAATATAATTAAAAGTAATCATTGAATAGTTTTATTTCTAGCATAAGACCTAATATCCCCATGAAAATAACAAAATGTGGAATAAAATTATAAGAAAACATTATGAATGTTGGCATGAGACGGCAATACAGTGAGGAAAT